AACTTATTAACATAAATTCATAAAATAGTAGTCAATTAAAATTTTGAATGCAAGTCAACAAACACAATGATGTGTTGTTTGGCCAGTAGTGATAGAGTTAAGTTTACTTCATGGCTACAAAATGTACGATAACAGTTGTCAGTAATCAGCTGTACACCTACAGTTGTTACCTCAAGCTAACACGATAAATAGTATTCATGGTGTGTAGAAAACGAAACACCTAAATCTCAATCAATAACGCTCAATAACTCTCAAGAGACTGACCTTTCGAACTACCCAAATTATTAGGTTTCTTTAATGTGTATAACTGACACAGGGCTGGCTCTTTAGGTGGACAACATATGCCCCTGCAATGGGTGCCCAACCAAAAAGGGTACCAAAATCAACATTGCAATTAGCAGTTCTTTTTAAAAGGGCAGGGGTGACAAATACAAAGTTTGCACAGGCCACAGTTTTGCCTAGGGTCAGTTACGGATTGACATATACAAAATATGTAACGTGTCAAATCTTTAGATACAGTAAATATGCACCAAAATTAAAAAGTAAAAATCCATACTAATGTTTTGACAATAAAGGAGCTAACACTGACACATACATATTTTGGTAATGCCATGTTTTATTAAATGTACTTTCATCAGTATATATATTTATTATTTGTTAGTGTAGTTACAACTTTTACTTCTGCAAATTACCTCAACTAACAAAGTTTCATGAAGACATTATTTCAAGATGCATCTTAGTTCTATGTAGGTAATTTAAGGTGTACCAATCTGATCGTCAAGTTAAATTAAGTTAGGTAATTAAGGTGTACCAATCTTATCGTCAAGTTAAATTAAGTTAGGTGATTAAGGTGTACCAATCTGATCGTCAAGTTAAATTAAGTTAGGTGATTAAGGTGTACTAATCTAATCGTCAAGTTAAATTAAGTTAGGTGATTAAAGTGTACCAATCTGATCGTCAAGTTAAATTAAGTCAGGTGATTAAGGTGTACCAATCTGATCATCAAGTTAAATTAAGTTAGGTGATTAAGGTGTACCAATCTGATCGTCAAGTTAAATTAAGTTAGGTGATTAAGGTGTACCAATCTGATCGTCAAGTTAAATTAAATAAGGTGATTAAGGTGTACCAATCTGATCATCAAGTTAAGTTAAGTTAGGTGATTAAGGTGTACCAATCTGATCGTCAAGTTAAATTAAGTTAGGTGATTAAGGTGTACCAATCTGATCGTCAAGTTAAATTAAATAAGGTGATTAAGGTGCACCCAATCTGATCATCAAGTTAAATTAATTTAGGTGATTAAGGTGTACCAATTTGATCGTCAAGTTAAATTAAGTTAGGTGATTAAGGTGTACCAATCTGATCA